GAGCCGAGATGTCGCTGCGGGGCTGGGCGCTGGCCGTGCTGGCGGCACTGACCCCGGCGGAGCGCAGCCGGTCCTACGCCGTGCTGCAGAAACAGAACCTGGGTAAGGAGCGGGGGGGCGGGAGGGGACGGCTTCGCTTTGTGCCGTGCGGCGGGGACTTGATCTGTCGGCCTCCTCCCTCGCAGTGCTGCTGGGCAGCATCCTCAGCGCCCTGCTGCTCACCATCGTCCTCGTGGCCGTCTGCGTCTACAAACCCGTCCGCCGGCGGTAGTGGCCGCGTCCCGCGGCTCGAGGACATCGCCGTCACCCGCACGGACCCGCACGGACACCCGGAGCCGCCCCGCGTGGGTTCCGCTCGGCATCACCGCATCCGCTTTGCAGTGATGGCGGTCCCAGCCCCAGCGCTGAGCGCCGGAGCCACGGGGAGCAGCCGCGGACGAGGACCGCGTCCCAGCCCCAGCACCTCTGGGAGCTCTGCGTTGGAGCTACAGCCGGATCCACGTCGTGCAGCTTTTGGTAACAAATTCAAGGGTTTACACTGAAGTCACACGTGCGTACGGATGCTGCTATTTTTTTGTTGTTGTTTTGCACTGCCGGGAGTAGTAACTGGATTTTTGCTTATAAATATTACTTTGGTATTTAACATAGGGGTCAGGGGTAGTAATTTATTTTAGATTTTTAAAACCGTACCTCCAGAGTAAAGGTGGTGGTCAGCTCTGCAAGCACTGCAGCCAGCTGGTCCTGCTCTGTTAGGGGCAGGGAGAACTCCTGGAGCTGGGGGCTCCCTTTGCTGCTGCTCTGCGCATCAGTGAATGAGCCTGGCCTGGAACAGACCTCGTTTCTAATCTCAACGAAGCACACATGAGGGAGCAAGCTAACAGCAGGATGTTTCTTTCTGATCTTCTCCATAGTTGCAGAGCTCTGGCTCGCTGATTTTTGCATCCTTTGTTCCATGTAACACTGTGCCCATAGCTGTGTGCTTGTTTGTGGGTGCAGCTCTGAGCTGAGCTGCCTGCAGCAGCATTGTTTGCATTCATTCTTCGCCCCCTGCTCTGTCTCTCTGTACGAATAAAAGAGAAGTAAACACTGCAGGACTCCTTTATTTATTCATGGACGTTCAGCTGTAGCAGTCCCACATCCCAGCTGCGAGCTTACTGCTTGCAGGACAAGGGAGGAGAATGAGCAAAAGGATTTCCAAATGAAGTGCATTGTGAGTTACCATGGAACATAACCCAACCCCAGAACAACAGCACAACAGCCCCTGCTTTGTCTCACTGCCACACAGCACAGAAATGGAGCCACAGCTTACAGACCTTTAGGTGCTGCTATGCAGAAGTTACTCATAGGTTCAGAACGCAGATGCAGCTCTTGGTGACCGAGGTTCTGCTTTCCCACATAACCTCAAAGGCTGTTCAGGGAACCAAAATTGACAGGCTTAATTTTTGGACAGCAGTGTTAACATGAACATAGCAGTGCAACTCACTCCTGCTCTTTTCCATCTGTTACTCACAAGAAGGTGCATACAGAACCGACCAAGAGCACTGAAGCCTCAACACCAGCCTGCTTTTAATTTGCTGAGGACAGTTCACTGATCCCCATTTTATTTTTTCCTTCTCACCTTGGAGATGCTCACTAGCAAAAAGCAAAGTCACAGAGCAGTCTTACAAAGGTAACAGCACTCTTTATTTCCGCTGAAGGAAAAACAAAACAAACAAAACCAACACAACTTTATCTTTTAACCCATAATGTCATCAAGAGCTGAACGCAAGGCCTATTCCCTTTTCTGCAACCCAGAAAGTCACAGTAATCCTCTTTTCAAAGAAAGATGCAGTTCCAACACAGCCCCTCTGCCCCCATGCAAAGAGTTGCATTCCCCATTCCTGCAGCCACCAGGAAGCTATGGAGGGTTACAAGCTGCAAGGTTAAGCATGATACAATAGACAGTGAATTTTAATTGCCTAAAGAAATATGGATTATTGGTTTAAAAATGAAGTTCTAAGCTACCACCCATCTCTCTGGTCGTGTCATAATGACTTGAAAGGAGTCACAGAGTCACTTTGGAGTTTGGTTGCACAGAGCTGCCCTGGTTTGCTCGAGAAGTGCAGGGTTAGGCAGCAAGATGACAGCAATACGTACCATAGGTTCTCACAGCACTGTGAGCAGGGACTGAGCAATACTGCTGATGTTCAACTGCTGTAAGGCCTCCCTGTGGGCGTACATCCTTGTGTACATGTGGAGTGCACTTGAGAGTCACAGGGCGAGTACTGTAAACACTGACAGGAGTGCAAGTAGAATAGCTACAACTGTACTGTAGGAGGAAAGACCTGAGGAAAGCTGTTAAAACCTATTTCTGAATTGTAACGATAGCATTTGAGGGAGGGCAGTCATCTTGGTTTGGTTTAAAAGCCAATAAAAAGATTCAGATAAAAAAAGTATGTGTTCACATGAAGGATAAGCGTTTGAATTTTAAAAAGCAACAGGCATTTGCCCTTTCGGGTGACAGAATTAAAACTCACCTTGCAATAAGTACACATTAAAATCTCAACTGACTTTTCTCCTGTTTGAATTCAGCAGCACCCACACGCATGCACACACAGTGATCTCAAGAAGCACCTGTATCTATTGCTTACGTCCTTGCTGCCCTCTGACTATGGGAACGAGCTGGTGTTGAATCACTGCAGAAAGTGCTACTTTAGGAGGATGGTCCCACTTGAGGAGCTAAAATTGTACTGGCTGCTTGGTTTGTCTGATCTCAGAAAGCACTAGTTTAATCTCATGCTTGGATTAGCTGTTCAAGTATAAAATTATCCCTTGTAAGCAGGAGCATATGATAAAAGTCTCAGTGACTGGAGAAGAAATAATCATGTATAAACAACACTAACAGAGCATCTGTCAGCATGGAAACTACTGTACGTATGTGAATGCATAGAGATACCATCCACGTAAGGACTGGAAGGAACAGAGACAATGGCTTTGAATTATTCCCAAGTGACTATGCAGATGAGTATTTCTTTGGTAAGTAATGAAGTTTCCCTTCTGAACTCCTCATAAATCAGGTTTTTTACAGTTCAATGCAACCCTCAGGCCTGGTGCCAAGCAAGCCTTCCACCTGCTCTTCAATAAATGTGTTCAGGTAAAAGAATGTCACAGCTTAGGCTGCACAGCTGGGCAGCTAAACACAGAATGCCCAGTCACTGAATCTCCCTCAAATAATAAAAGACAATTTAAAAAACCATCAGCTGTTGTAGCTGATATTACAGTGACGATGAAGAAGGCAGGTGAAATGTTTACTTCAGCAATCCAGGAGCGATCTCCAGCCTGAGAGCTCTGAAAGCCTCCAGCTTCGCACAGATTTGGTCACCCTTATTATCAAGAGTTATTTTTCCACAAGAGAAAGCTGTAGAACTTGCTGCAGCTCTGCATCTTCCTCCTCACGGCGCTGCCTCTCGCGCTCCTCCTGCTCCCGGACAGACAGCTCCATGGCAAGCTGCAAGTCCTTCTCAAAGCTGGAAGGCTCGCTAGGGCTGCTGCTCTGTGAGTTACCTGTGCTCGTTAGATAGCTCTCCTGCAGTGCCCTGGAGAAAGCAGAAAGGCAGAACGTTGAGAAGGAGAGGAGATGGAGCTTATTTCATGTTTCCTGCAAGGATCCACCCTAGCAACTTGGGTTCAGTCTGCAAACCTGGATCACAACCTTACAGGGCAGAAAGCAGCTCTCAGTGTAAGATAGCAGCACTAACAGGCATATGTAAAACTTGTTCTAGGGCTCCTCAGGAATACACCAACCCAGAGGGGCCAAACTCCCAGCTTTAATGGCAGAACAGAAAGGCTGTGTGTAATAGGAGAAAAAAATCAGGAGAAAAACCTGACATGTGCAGGTCAGTTCTGGAGCTGAGCTGAAGGCACAGACTACACAGATCAGTGAGGCCCAGCCTGGAGCTCTGGCTTGTTAAATAAAAAAAGAGGAAAGACTGAAGCAGCACAGCAAGACCAACCTTGAATTCTGTGCATCTGCTGCCTGTCTTCAGAAAAAAAAGCTTGATGCTGCTGTTGGACATTCTTTGGTCTATTGTGCATGACTTGACAGAAAATTAATTAGTTACCTCTGATACTGTATATTGAAGTCCTGTGAATATGCAACTGCTCCATTGGAATGCGCCCCCACTTCCTAGAAATGGAAGAACATGTCATAGATTGGCAGTGCTCCTCACTCTTCTTTCTTCTTCAAAATAAATTACTCTATTTTCCTCCTCTGAGGTTCTTGGAAAATCCATCCGACGTGGCACTTCGTACATAATGGCTTAATTTACAGATACAGCTATTGCTGCACATTTCTTGTCAAAGCTGACAGACCTGCACTGAACAGATTACAGCACACTTACTTTATTTCCACTGGATTCCAACAGGCTCTGCTGAATAGCAAACTGCATGATCTCGTTATCTTCATCGTGCACATGTATGTTCCTGCCATCATCTTGGACATGGTAAGATTTGGGGATCTCAAACACTGACTGGTCAACCTCAAAATTAGCACCTATGGAAGGAAAATATAGTTGAAAACATGGCATGGTATATTTGTGCAAGTTGTTAATAGAAAGAAATCCAATGGATGTTCATACATGATTAACTCCAAAAATGCAGATAAACCACCTGCCTGCATGTAGCCAGAGGCTCTGGCAAACAAGCATGGCAGTAAAATGCAGTACAGCCTTAAGTGAGGTAGCTGAACCATGCCAAAAATTAGTGGAAGGAAAAGGATTGAAGAGAGAAACAGTCCAGTAGCTCTGACTTCTCTGGGGTTATTTGCAATGGATGTGAAAGCTCTTCTACTCACTCCACAAACAGAAACACACAGAGATGCCATCACTGCATTCTTCACCCCTCACCTGCATCCCCCTGCACACCTCCACCCGTTGGTGATGATGTTCTCTCAGCTGTCCTGCAGCTGTTGACATTTTCAAATGTAATTCGAGCGTTCAACACATGAAATAAGGGAATTTCTATTAAAAAACACAACAAAATCTGTATCAGAAAGAAGTCTGTCATTCATTTTCACACTGCAGCCACATATTATCTCATATAATCCATAAGCAGCATGCCACAACAACTAAGTGATCTGCAGCTCAGATTGCCAAGACCTTGCCCTTAGTCTTTGTCACTCTGCCTCTACATCCCATGAGGTTATTAAAAAAACTGCCAAACCAAATACATTTAAACCACAAGGAAAGGGCCAGAAACAGCTAATTCTTATTAAGTTCCACCATCTTTAAAATCATGCTTTTACACTGAGAATTTGGATCCCACGTTCGCAGACACGACTTGGTTCTTGTGTGGCAAGATGACTGGTAGAACTGAAATGGTTTTTGTAAGCATATGTTGCAAAAAGGTTACAAAGAATGCAAAAAAAAAGAATACAAAGAATGGAATGAAGACGCTAGAATAGAGATTGTGAAACATTACCAATTTTGACAGGAAACCCTGGTGGAAATTCCAGAGTGATGAAATCCCTCAGTCTGGCAAAATGAGCACTAGTTCTGGCCATCAGATCAATGATTGGAGTTACTTGCTCCACAAGGGACAAGGGAAACTCTTCACTCATCCACAAGGTCGCTTTAAATCTGAAAGGATAAGTTGTGTAAAAGCATCCTGAGTATACAATTCTGGAAAGTGAAAAAGCAAAATACATAATGAAAAAGCAGAATACATAACGCTTCCACCTGCTTCACACCAAGAGCAATAGCTTTGAGAATCCAAAGCACACTCTTGGTCAGGCTAGAGACAAACCATAGGAGTTTCCTGACACCTTGCAATAGGGAAGGGTCAGGTATTTGAGAAGTTACAGCACTAGAACTAAGACTTAGTTCACAGCTGATTACTTCTAGATGCCTCTTTTAATTAACACTGCAAGGAGAGTGAAACTGTACTGGATGTTTGTAAAATACAGTTTGCAGAGGTTAGAGGACAGACAAGAGGCAAATTGGAAATAGTCAAGTTTTATTTCTCACTTCTGCGTTCGAATGGTGACTTCTTTGGGTCTTCCTATATCCCTGCCCTTCAAATCAAACTCTGGATCGAAGTATTCCTCTGGAGTA